ATGTATTCTCCTTGAGCATGGTGACGAGGGATGAAGATGTGCCCATCGATGGTGCTTGGTTCAATAACTCTGTATTTTTCTATCTCGTCATTGAGGCACCTCCTTAAATCCACAGATAGGCTCATACGCTCAATAACTGGTACTTTCAAGGAAGAAGAAGCTATTAGTGAGAGGTTGAAAGAAGGGTGGAGAGAGTGAGTATGAGAAAGGCAAGAAACTGAAGTCGAGAGTAATAGGAGTGAAATAGGAATTTTGGATAAGTGAATCAGTAAAAGCGCGAAAAGATGGGGGTTTTAAACCTTTTTGTCCAAAATTATCCATTTAACATAACGGGTCAAATAGACCCAAGTTTTGACCCATGTGTGATTAAGGCTTTTAAAACTCTTGAAAACACAAACAAAGAGAGCTACAGTATTTGGATATCTTATGAAGAAAAGAAACACATTTCAAATACTCAACTTGGCTTCAAAAACATGTGGTTGGCTTCGAAGCTATTTTTTCAAATACTTAGCTTGGCTTCGAAAGCAGGTAGTTGGCTTTGAAGCCAATTTTATACCTTAAACTCAAGTATAGCTGGGGTTTGTTTACTTCGAAGGTTTTGAGGGTATTCTCTTAGGCTTTTTATAAAAGGAAATTTCCTTCGAAGGAGACTTTGTAGTATTCTATGATTAGAATATGGTTCTTGCCTAATTTTTTTGGATTTCAAAATAAGTAAGCACTATGAAGCCAGTACTTGGTCAAGTAATGTGGAAATTTCAAAGACCAGAGGACTTACCCATACATGAAAGTACTTTCTTTAACTTTCTGCTAAAACAAATCCCTTCGAAGACAAATATTGTCATTTTGCAAAAGAAACTCCATGCTTCAAAAACACTTAAACCAGGCTTCAAAGCAAAATTGGTTAATTCGAAGCTGTTATTTACACAAATTATGTGAAAAAAGTAAGGAATAAGGTCATATTAACCATATAATTGGAATATGAAAACCCAATTTTATTAATAAAACATTTACATTATGAGGGCCTATTTGGCTACAAATTCAATTTTATAATAATAAGGAATATAAAAAGTAACAAGTTCATTGAATTTAGCCCGGCAATGATCTATGAACTTGTGTTCTTTCTTTATCCTGTCTTCAGTTCTGTTTAGATTGGTCTATTGCAGCTAATGTGCTCTTAGTTGTTGGAAAAGTTGCTCGGCCTTCACTTCGAACTCAGTTTCCTTCAAACCCTACTCCATCTCGTCCATATCCATATCATCCCAGTACGCTAAGTCCTTGTTCTTGAAGGCATCATATTCTTCAAGAAGGTTCTCTGCTTCGTACTGAGTATGAATTCGAATGGCAATGATTTCATCAAATGAATCACTAGTGGCCAAGGAGTTTTTATGCCAGTTGAATAGGAAAGGGAGCTGGTCTAAGAAGGTATATAGCTCTTTTTGGGCTATGGGGTTACGAGCATGACCTCGAGACACAATGTCACAAGCCCATAAAAAGTTCTTGTAAGGAACATCATCTCCAAGTACTTTGAAAGGTAAAGGTGGCAAGCAGAAGCTGAGCTTTAGACTGCTGAAATGCAATTGGAGAAACTGGAAGTTGGTAGGAAGAAAAATGCTAGCCCTCGAAGAGAGTGAGTTTCAATTCTTCCATCCAGTTAAGATTTTGAGAGAGAGAGAGAGAGAGGTGCAGAAGGGTCCATCCCAAAAGAAAGAGGAAATTAGGGGTCATTCACGCACTCTAGCCAGTCAGAAGAGCAAAATTTTGCCTTCTCAGCCAAGAATAAGGGACTGAATCCCAATGCTTCGATTGGGTTAGGAGTCTTTTGCACTATCCTCATTGGCGGGAAGGAGGTATACCATGCTAAAAGTAAATTGTCCTCTAGACAACGAAGGCAATCGAAAGGCATGTAAGGGTATACCACTAAGCTGCGAGAACAATGAGGAACTAAAAGGGGATCATCGAATTCAACAATTCTGTAATGAATCCACTCCCTTATTTGAGTTTGAACTGATGTTGACCAAGCATCCCAGCCAGTGTTTCCAGAAGAATAGGAGGCAGCTTCGTCCCATGTAGAAGGTTTCAGAGCAGAGAAATAGCTTCCAAGATCCATTTTGGAAAATTCTTGGTCCAGAGGTTTGTATTTTGCAAAAGCTTCCATAACTTGTATAAATTGAGGTAGATAATTGTGGCCAATAAATGCGTGAAAATTCTTTCGAGGTCAGTCATCATTGTCCAAAACCTCCTCGTATGCTCGATCAATGTAAGAGAAGGCTTGATTGGCCATTGGAGATGTATCAGTCCCTTCATAGACACAGATAGTAGAGGAAAGGTTCAAGTGCAAGAGAGAATTTAATGAAGTTGAATGCTTCATTACTCAAAGACGATTACACTTCCAAGATAAACAAAGTTCATGCGCGTCCTAGTATGTGGGCAAAGTGCATTGATCCACTAATATCACCAAGTATTGGGTATATTAGTGCGAGGGATAATGTTGGCTATATATTTTGTATAAGCCAATCCCAGCTTAACACATGGCTCGTAAAGGGTGATTTTGGGGAGTTAATACAAGTCTTCAATCAATGACGGGCACGTGGCAATTCATATTGGTAATAATGGATCTACGTAGCACTAGAACAGTTAGAAAACGCAAAATGATGTGGCCTAACAGTTACTCACAATTCAAATTCAAATTCAGGAGGGAAGCCTAACTGCAAGAATGGTGTAGTGGAAGCTAACTGTGCGAGGCCACAACTAGAGATCATGGAAAGGCATTTCGACGGTTAGAAAACTACTTCGACAGTTACCATTAGAAAGTATAAATAGAAGAGAAGGCCAACAGAAGAGAGGATCAGACTCAGATCCAGAAATCAGTTATTTACTTCATATTTTTCTTTCTAGTTTTACATTTCCAGTTCTTCAATTCCTGTACCTTCAATTCTTGTACTGCACTTCATTTCTTAGTAGTAGTTTCAAATAGTTTGTTGCTGTGAACCTCTTCGAGGCTGGGTCATTGTAAGTTCTCATTTACTTAATGAAATTCAGTTTCTAAACTGTTTTGTACTTATTATTATTTATAAATTTCTCCTAAGCAAAGTTGTCAGTAAAAGTCCTCTTCATTAAGACTGAAAGAACTTCAACACAATCGTCTGATAATTAGTTGGCAATTAAACTTTCTGTAAGGACTTATTGATCCATGTTGGCACACTTAAAATTACATAATTAACCTTTCAAAGCCAAAAAAGTCAACAATCATTACGTCATATTCAGATTCTATACAATCTAACAAAATTAATTTTCGTATGATACACTTATATTTTTAATTATATTGACAAAAATAATTGAAATTCATCAAATTACATATAAAAACAAAAGTTAGGTAGGGGTCATTTGTTAACTATTCTATTTTCTGTTTCATTTTATTTTTTCGAAATTCAAAAGAAAAACTTATTTAGTATATTGTGTTCATAATAGTTTCTAAAATTTTCTTCTTTTTTTTTTTTCTTTGAAGAGGCAAAAAAGGATTTGTTTTGTTTACAAAACAAACTTTAACTTCCTCTTTCCTTCTCCCAGCCCCCTAATACTATAACAATTGTAGAATCAAGAAAAAGTTTACAAACTTGTATAATCAATGACGGTAATAATTGAAGTTGTTATTACTTCACTTTTTATTGTAATGTACATTGAAAACCATGTCATATATACTTTTAAATGCTAGAGATATATTTTAGAGTGTATTTCTCCCATTTCATCTTGTTCAATTTGTGAAACCCAAACATTTTTTTTATATATTTCTACCTTAAACATCTTAAAAATGAAAATTGGGTCAACAAGCTATAGCTTCGCCAATGCTCCCTGTTTCTCGTTAAAACTATTCAATTTTTCTATTCTTTTCTTCTTCTTTTTTTCTTCTTCTTCTTCTTATTGAGGCTTACTTTGGCAATAGCTTAAAATAGTCAAAAAATAATTAGAAAAAAATTAATTATCCTCTTAACTTTTCTATACATCTTTTCGTAAAAATATAAAAAATTAACTAAAATAACAAATTCTCAAAACAATTCTAAATTTTTTTACTAATAAAACAACACTTATACGTATTATTTTTTATACAGAGAATTATATAAGAAAAATTACCATTAAGTAACGATGGGCCGCTAGCTCGTCCAACACGCCTAACATAGTCCTATTTTTTCAAGACTTGGTAAGAGTATTTTAGTCTATAACACTGAATTAGGTTGGATTAATATTTTTAGCTTCTTAAATTAATGAAATGGGCCTGGGATTAATGTTTGTAGTCCGGCCAGTTAATGTCATTATTTTATTATTTTTTATGTATATTATATTAATAAAATATATAAATCATCTATAACAGATTGCGTATTACTTGAAATTGGAAGTTGCTGAAAACATTTGCAGGACTGATTGTTATGTCCATTATAAGCAGTGAAACTCTGGTTTTCAAAGGTCTAAAAGTGCGAGGAAGAGCCTTGAATGGTTGCACAACTCTTTTGCAAGAGAATAATTGATTTACTTGGTTATGGGAAATGTTCGTTCCTGATCACCAACTACAAATAAGAATGGGTGTTAACTTGTTTAGGAAGATGTTGTGTGGTCTTGATACTTTTTTTAGAAATTAATTTACTTGCAAATTTTTTTAAACAAATCATATAAATAGAGGTTTGATGGACAGACTTGAGAGTCGTAATTTTTAATAGGATTGGATTTTAATTGACTATATAAATTCAAGGTTTATAATGGGTCAAACTTTGATAAATATAAACTCTTTTAAGTAATGTCAATCTAGTCTGGACTCGGTTGATCGGACAATATTTAAAAAATAAGACAGATATCTACTAACAAGCGAGAATTTTTTAAAATGTAACCTTTGCTTTGATTTTTTACACAGAAAAAATTACACCACAGGTATCTGTAATTATTTTTAATCTTGTACATTAGTTTGCAATGTTTTTAATTATATATGTGTGTGTAAATCAAACGAACCATGCAATGCACCAATGGCTCGCTGTTAAGGCCATCGTCATGGTAGTAGTCCCCGTAGCCATGACAAACCCAAATGTATAAAACCAGAACCTCCACCTCCAACACCACCACCCTCCTCCGCCATGTTTTCCGACATTCCTCAACCCCTTATCCGGTGATGTAATTATACATAAAATATTTGTAAATTTCTTCTTTCTGACAATCCCAACATGCCTTCAGTCATCGATGAAGGTACTCATATAATCTGTGTCATATGATAATAAATTTTAGCCTAAGAATGTTTGAATTGATTTTTGTCTGATAATAATGTGTTTGATTGCCAAGGGGACGAGAGCCGCGAGACGGATCTGGAAATGGGGCTGTGCTCGCCGTCTCCGACGCCGTTGCTGGCGCGGATTCGAACCAAAATTGGCACAGAGGCGCTCGGCGGAGGACCGAATTCCGGCAAGGCACTAGTCATGTCGAATTCAGGCAAGCGATTGGATCAGCCAAATTCAGCGAAGAAGAAGTACGTGAAGCAGGTGACGGGGAGGCACAACGACACCGAGCTTCACCTGGTGGCCCAGCGGGGGGACACGGCGGCGGTGAAGAAGGTGCTCGGCGAGATCGGTGTGGAGTTTGGTGGTGTTGATGTGGCGGAGATTCGGTCAGACGTCGTGAATGAGGTGAATGAGCTCGGCGAGACGGCGCTGTTCACGGCGGCGGAGAAGGGGCACATTGATGTGGTCAAGGAGCTGTTACCGTACACCACCATGGAAGGGATTAGGGCAAAGAATCGTTCGGGGTTTGATCCGTTGCATATTGCCACCAGTCAAGGTCACCCAGGTAAAATATTTTGTACTAAAACATTTCACACATTTCATTACTTTCATGTTCAAATATTTGTTTTTAGAGTTTTTTGGGTTTTCAAAAACTTTTCTTTCTTGTTTCACAAGTAAGAAAGGATGAAGAGTTAAATGGAGAAAAAAAAAAAATAATCAAAAGTAAAAACTAAGAGAACTTTCAATGGAAGATATTGAGATGAGTTAATTTACAAATTAAATGTGAGGAAGCTAACAATCTTGAACAATTCTAAAGAAATTTTATAGAGATTAAACTTCATTTAGAGTATGTGAATTACTTGCGAATTGCCTGAAATGCTGATGGATAATTTCCTTGACATTCTCTTAATGCTCATTTTGCAAGCTTCACAGTTTGGTAAGGTCAATTTTAACTTTTAGCATTAGTGGCTGACAAAATAATGGGGAAGCCCTAATAAAATTGTGTGCATTCATCTCTGAACTATCAAAGCTTATGTTTTTTGAGGTACTCTTTCCTTTCTTAAGCTGCAAAATTATGTTTAAGGGTCCGTTTCAAGTAGCCAAGAAAAGACTTATAAAAAACAACTTTTCAAAAGAAAAACTTTTTATGGGGATCCTTGAAGGCTTTTGGACCTTCATGTTTTAGAACCTTTAGATTTTTCCTACTTGCTCAGGATTTTTTTTTTATGTACTTTCACTTTTCTCATTTTTTGTATGGCTCACATGCATTTGGAAATTGATCTTGACTTTTTTTTCCCCATAGATTTTCTAATAGAAAATCACAGGCATATTTAAACCAATTTCCGAGTACAATAGGCCAAATTTCGTTCACTTCGTATAAAAGGTTTGCAGCACATGTTCCGTAAATAATGTTCAACTTCAACTACATAACTCAATAAATATTCATGATGCTGTCGTGACAACATTCCTCATAATTCTACATAAAAGAATATGGAGTCCAAATCTAAATCTTCTCAGTGATTAAAATATTGCTTATCTGAAGTTTAGGCAATCCCTTCTTGATATAAAATTTGGCCTTTGCCTTAATAGTTCAGATTCAATTTTAGCATTTGAAATCTCGTGTTTCAAGGTCACATGGAAATTAAACACTCCAATCTTCATTTTGTTCAAGATTGCATAGGAATGTAGACATCCATTATTCCGACTGTGGCTAGTAAAGAAATTTGTAGCCAGTAATGAATTTTGTGCAGTTACTGTCGCCCTGTAGTGGGTAAGGTCAAACTGGATTCATTACTGGGTCATAGGTTGTTCATTCTGCTGGTTCACATGTTAGAACACCAAAGACATGCACTCTCACACCCAACTGTTTAAACCTTGGTATGGTTATCTGACTCATTTACTAGTTAATAACCATATTGAATCCTGAAAATGTTTTCAAGAACACTACACAAAGGAAGTTAGCTTCACATGTCAATTTTCAAAAACAAGTGCTGTGTAATATATTGTTGGCTCCATCGCTGAATTCTGGAAAGCTCGTCAACTCATTTGTTTTTTTCTATTTTCCAATCAGTTAAATTTATGCATTGTGAAACTGAACCACTTCAGGATGATTTAGTGACTATATTTATGCAGCCATTGTCCAGATACTACTAGACCATGACCCAGGGCTAAGCAAAACGGTTGCTCAATCAAATGTAACCCCGCTTATATCTGCTGCAACAAAAGGGCATTTGGAGGTGGTTAATGAATTACTGTTGAAAGATCCCAGCTTGCTAGAGATATCAAGATCCAATGGAAAAAATGCATTACATTTAGCTGCCAGGCAGGGGCATGTGGATATTGTGAAAGCATTGCTCAATAAGGATCCACAATTAGCAAGAAGAACTGATAAGAAAGGACAGACTGCTTTGCATATGGCTGTAAAAGGGGTTAGTTGTGAGGTGGTGAAGTTGCTTCTTCAGGCAGATGCAGCCATTGTGATGCTCCCAGACAAGTTTGGTAACACAGCATTGCACATAGCCACCAGGAAGAAACGGGCAGAGGTATTGATTAACACTGCCCCCTCTTATAAATGTATCTTTTCTTATCACTATGGACCTAATATCTGAATTGGCTCTTTGTAATCTTTTTTGGGTGAATAGCTCTTTGTAATCAATCCAAGTGAACGTCTTAAAATTTGTCTCGTCTGGCCAAATGTAAGGGCCCACAGATTTGGTTTGTAGGGACTTGCACACAATTAAACCCCGCCAACCCCATAAATCCCACATTCAGAAGAGTTAGAAGCTACTTGTAAACTACGAGGAAACCACAATTACTCCAAATAAGATACCAGGAAGCCACTTCAATTCCTTCAAGAAAGGGCACCTGCTTTCATAATTCAAAACTGTGTTTGGGGATTAACAAATATTCAAAAACTAATCAAGTTATATGTGCCTGTGTGGACACCCTTGAATTTGAATGGCTCAAATCTCATTTTAATAGCGGCTTAATCTAGAAGCTTGAATGGATATTGAATGTAGAAGACTCTCATAGGTTGTCATATGGTTCAACTTATAAATTGACTATTTATTTTTTAATCTTATTTGGTTTTTAGATAAGTTTGGAAGTCCAAAAACTTGGTTTTGATATAGGCAGTCAAAATCCTATGGTTTCTCTAAAGTCTATATAAAGCCATGTAATACTTCCAAGTCAATGAAGTTGAGTTTAGAAGCCTCTTTGTGATTGGATGATGCTTTTCTAACCCTAGATGTGATGTCTATGAAATCTAGGTACCGTGCCTAGACATTTGAATTACTTGTCTTTTACCCTTAACCTTCGATTGGTCAAGCCTTATCCATTCATCCAATTATATGAGACAATAGCACACTGAATATGCATAGTTACTGTTTTCGGGTACTATTTACAGCACCTAGAACAGCATTTAAACAGCCCAAGTCCCATCTTTTCATGCTTTAAACCCTAATCCTTTTAAATGTGTCTTTAACTAATGCAATATGCTCATACAATTTACCTGATACAGGAACAGAGCACACATCAAATTGTCTTTTATCTTATGTACTTTTTTTATACTTCATTCATACTCCATACTTTTTTGACTCTTTCTGAATGAATGAGTTCAGTCTTCAGCACTTGGATAGTCAGACCTAGACACCAAGCACACATTTTGTTTAACTAAATTGCCAACCCACTAAATCCAAAATCTTGTGAAGTTGTAACAGAGAGTGTTCTTCACACTTGTCCTACATTCTTAAGGGGATTTCCCCTTATTTTTTTATTCATGAACATTCTCAGGTTTCCTTGAACTGATTAATTCATGATTGGATGGTTGCCTTTATTACAAATGATGTCATACAAGATGATGATGTTTCGCATTTAATGCTCTATGCAAAAAGTAAACAGGGCCATTCAAATTCAAGGATGCATCCACAGAAGCCCTATATAATTTCAAACTGGATAAGAAACATTATGTAAAAGAACTAAGAGAATATGCATGCTGCTTAGAACCATAATTAAAAATTGTAACTTGCATATAAACTAACATCGTGATTATAGACCAAGAGCTTTGCATGTGAACTAGAAAACTTTTAAATAAACTTGAACCAGAATTATGTGGAAATGTCTAAATTGCCTCCTAAATTTAAAATGCTAAGACTTGCGCAAGAGTAATAACATGATGTAACTAAGAAAATGTATAAAGGACGATGCATATACTCAAAAACGTGATGGCTATGTAAAGAATCTAGGCATCAAAAACATGTAAACCAAGGCAAAATCTGTACCAATTTAAAATGTGTTAATTTTAATCCTTTTGATTTATTGCAGATAGTTAATGAGCTGTTACTCCTCCTGGACACCAATGTGAATGCACTAACAAGAGATCACAAAACAGCCCTTGACATTGCAGAAGAACTTCATCTGTCTGAAGAAACTGCAGAAATAAAGGACTGCTTGTCTCGTTATGGTGCTGTCAGAGCAAATGAACTGAACCAGCCAAGGGATGAGCTTAGAAAAACTGTGACAGAAATCAAGAACGAAGTCCACACCCAGATTGAGCAAGCCCGGAAAACCAATAAGAACATGGACGGAATTGCGAAGGAGCTCCGAAAGCTCCACAGGAACGGAATCAACAATGCTACTAACTCGGTCACTGTGGTGGCTGTTCTCTTTGTCACAGTCGCATTTGCTGCTATTTTTACAGTTCCTGGAGGTGATGGTGATAATGGGGTGGCCGTGGTGGTGAGCAGTATGTCTTTCAAGGTTTTCTTCATCTTTAATGCTATTGCACTCTTCACATCACTGGCTGTTGTCTTAGTGCAGATTACACTTGTCAGGGGGGAGGTAAAATCTGAGAGGAGGGTTGTGGAAGTGATTAATAAGTTGATGTGGTTGGCCTCTGTTTGTACTTCAGTGGCATTTATAGCTTCTTCTTACATAGTAGTTGGCCGGCATCATAAGTGGGCTGCAATTTTTGTTACAATTTTAGGTGGAGTTATAATGGCAGGAGTCCTTGGTACTATGACATATTATGTGGTTAAGTCGAAAAGGAAAGTGAGGAAGAAAGGGAAATCGAAGCATTACTTGGATTTATCTGAGTCGGAAGCAGTACATCCAATTTATGCAATTTGATTTCATCCCTGACATTGTCTTGATGTTTTGTTTTGTTTTTTGTTTTTTTTTAAATGAAGAAAATCAGAAGAAAATGTGATGCACCTTGTGTATAAGAGGTTCTGAGCTGTAAATTCTAGAGTATCCTATAGTTATATTATACATTGTTGCTTGAATCTGCACTCTTTCATGGATTCAACGCAGAGTGGGTTTCTCTTTGAATGAGAAAATATCAGGGTCTTTTTATAAGCAGATTCAGTTCTGAATGCTCAATTGACTTGTGAATGTATCTGTGAATCAAATTTGTGCTGAACCTAGTTATGCAATCATGGTAATTTGCTTTTGGTGAAAATCTGATAAGCATTTGATGTGCCCCCGTTTGAAAAGATCAGATTTGGACCCAATAGCCAAATTTATTTATAAAGGATCAACTTTGAGTGTGCCAGTTGATTCCACACAGCCCTAATGCAAAGTAAGTTTTCTCATATGCGACTCTTAATCATACATTTTCTTCAATTGTTCCTTTAACCAATTGTGATCAAACTTTGACTGTCATGGACGATATAAAAATTGGCTCTCGAAACTGCCAACAGTGCCTAAGATTTTATGGTTGATCAGATGCTATATATGTTACTGATTTTGTAATTTTGATGATAAAGTGAAGGTTCTTTCATTATTTGATTGTGAAAAATGAACGTCTCAATGGGTTGTTGCAGCTCATAGTAGAACAGAAGCCTTCATATCATAAAGCTGCACATTTTTAGGTGAGTGGCATATCTCTAATTGTTTTATTTCTGTATGTTTTTTAAAATTAGTGCATGGGCTGCAATATTCCATTATACTCTTTCTTAAAATTTTAACTTGATTTTTCATTGTTATTTTTTGTCAGATATTGGATTGACAGATAAAGAAGATCTAGTGCTACAGAATTATAAAAATTAAGGTAGGTTAGCTTCCATTATGGTGCTAGCTTCTTGTAGTTGGTCAGTTTATTGTCATTAAAAGTTGCATTTGCTTCATGTAAATTTGTTCATACAAGTCCTTAAGAACTCTGTTGATATGATTGCTTCCATTGTGTCATAAGCTGTAAGTCCTGAAGTTCACTCTGTTGTGAACAATCATTATTGGGATTGCACGTTCTTAAGGACAGTTAACTAAGGAATGAGGAAGATTCAATGCTGACAAAAATTAAGAAATAGATAAACAAATCACATTAGGAATAAAATCTTTTTATTGATTCAAAATTGTATTTTAAGGTATGGAACATCACTAGTCTCCCCACAGATTGAGTTCAACGATACATGCACAAGTTCACATATGTACATACATATATGTACATATATTCAATTGCAGAAATCATCTTACCCCTCCTTATCACAAAAGTTGGGGAGGCTTTGGTAGCCATGAAAATTGCATGTTTTCTGCAGCAAGGTGGCTACTGGAACCATTCTTAAAACAACTGCTGTAAAGCTCTACTGGGACTACAGATTAACAACCACCCATACGAGGTTTGATGCAACAAATCATTGTTTCATAATAAAGCACCATGATCTCTTGGTAGTAACAATGTAGTAGTACTAGTTTTGAGCTAGAGTTTCAGATTGTTGTTCTTTAATTTCTTTTGCTTTTGTGATCTCATCATTAGGTCTTGTGAATTAAGAGATTTGGGCCATGTAACCATCCGATGTGAGTAGAAGAAAGCTTTCAATTGATGATCCAGGTCAATCTCCTCCAATCAATAGGAAATTACAATAGAAGGTAACTGGGTTCCTTGAAGTCAAGTCTGATTTGTTCACTCACTTGACAGGTAGGTAAAAACTGCTCTATTATGTGATTGGTTCTTCCACTAGAGTCTATTGCTTTAGTCCCGACTTAAAGTAACCCCAATAAAAGAACTAATCATATTTGGTCCCAACTTAAAGCAATGGACCTCAGTAAAAATACCAATCATATAAGAGGATAACGTTCACCTACTGAACAAATGGGTGAGCAAAAATTTTTTTTTCTCTTGAAGTTTGTTTATATTTACTTTCATCAGCTGCTTATCCTTGTACTCACTTCCCTATCCATCTATGACCTTTCTTTAGACTATATCTTGTGAATCTTTTGGACAAGTCTTCAGGGAATGGAAAATATAATCAAGAAGAAATTGCTTGGAAGTGTCTCTAGTTGCTTTGGCATTGTGCACACTAAACTATTATCAGAATAGGAAAACTCTATTCTTACATAGTTTTTAGGAATTTATGATTAAGATTGTGGCAGTGGTGTTTTTGAAAATTTAAGCTACTTGATGGCCTTCTGCTTTCAACTGATAAGATCAAAAGTTGCCATATAATTTTGTATTGATTTTATATAAGTGTTTCTGTTTGTATAATATTATTCATCTGAATATTATTGAGGAACTTAAGATTATTCAATTAGCTTTCTTGATCAAAGGAATTTCAGCTCACATAGCCTATATAATGAGCAATGTTATGTCCAAGTTGCTATGATATGACCTATGTGGTGATGTTTCTTTTTGTGGCTTTAAGCCTTGGGCTATGTTTAATGTCATTCTTGTGCAGATATGGAATGCAAAGAATGCTGAAAGTTGTGCTAAATGTTTTATAGAAACTTCTACGTAGAAAACACCGAGTGATATTGGTAAGATTTTAGGTTTTCATTTGGCATGCAACAGTTTTAGCTTAAAAGCCAACAAATTACTAAAAGGGTTGGGCTTTCCTCCAGTCCGATCACGGACTGGAGAGTACTGTTAGGCCTACTGTTAGGCCAGTGGAGGCCCATCACGAGTCCCGTTTCGATAATCTGAACCATTCAATATGTAAAATTCGTCGAGTACTATATACCTGTAAAAAATCATGTTGATCGGAAATCGATAGCTATCTCATCGGATCAGATTTTTGTCAGTCGTTTATTTTTCACTGTCTTTGTTTTTTTTGTACAAAACTGATCTGATTTCGTAGCTATACATATCCGATCAATGTGATTTTTTTACAAACATATAGTATTTGACGATTTCTACACATTTAACGGTTCAAATTATTAAAACGAGACTTGTGGTGGCCCTCACGGGCCCAAAGATATCCTTAAGTCCGATCATAGACAAGAGAGAAGCTAGCCTCTTACTACAAAAAGCCTATATACCACAAAGTCAAAATTTCTTTTTTTCTTTACTTTTGCATATCTTTTTGTAAAAAATAAAAAGAAAATTATTCCAAATATACTAATATTTTTATCTCATATTTTAACTAAAAAGTCAAAAAATTATTAAAATAGCATATTCTCAAACGAGACCTTAGTTTGAATAATATTTTTTTTATTGATTCCAGAAAATATTTTTTGTTTACTTTTGATTTATGTCTACCGAGTTCTTAAATAAACAAAAGAAATGTGAGTCGTAATTAATTGTAATTATAGTGATCTTCATCTCCCTCTGTAAGTTAACGGAATGTGTTCGAATATTAGGGGTTGTTTGGGATGATCTAAATAAGTGCACTTTTTATCTTTTTACGAAAAGATATGTAGAAAAGTAGAGAGGTAATGTGATAAAAAAAAAGATAAAAAGATGGATTATTTGGGACTTCCCAAACTTGGCATTAGATTTTTGAAGAAAAAAATAAAATAAAATAAATCCCAATTTTCTCTTCCATGCAAGAAAACTTATACAAAACCAAGATTCATATGCATCTTAAAAATCTTAATATTGCATGTATTGCTTGATCTCTATCATTTCTATTTCTAACTAAAAATTGCTTTGTTGCATGAACGAACTTATTAGTGTTTGTAGAGTTTCTTGGTTCATTAGGTTGTGTTTTAAGTATGAATTTGGATAGAGATTTGAAAAGGAAAAAAAAAATGTGTGTGAAATGTAAATGAAATGTAATTATACTAGCGTATGCCCGTGCTTAAAGGCACGGTGTAAATAATATTAAGATTAAAATGCAGTTATAAAAACAACAAATCCAATTGTATAATTGCATTGTGTCATGATCTAGAACCAAGTTTGACTCAAAGGCAACACCGCACCTCATTACCAAACTTTGGATACTAATCTTAAAATGCAAGCTCCCATAGAGAGAGTGATAATATTTTACAAACATCAGGGGCATGTTTATAATTTACCATTTTTTAAGATTTTGTGAAAATTTGAGAATGGAGATTTAGAGGGCTGTGATCCATCACATTCTTACAGTATATTGGCATAGTTTTTTAATTTCTTTTGTCTGGAAACCGACCAATAACAATAGACGAAAAGATAATCAAGTGGTTTACTATTAAATCTAGGATTACATCTCTTTTTAAGACAGGTCCCTAGGTAATCAATGAATTTCAATTAAAGAAGGCAGCTTCAAAATCCTTATGTAATATAGCAAAAGCTTAAAAAAAAGTTGGCCATTGAAAACAAAAGAGACAGCACTTCAACTGCAATTTCAAATCTCACTGTGATTGGAGATCGCCAACCAAACAATATTCAAGGAGCTAAAGATAAGTTAGACCAGACACATACAAATGACCAAAACATTAATCTAGTATTTCTCTTTATTTTAACAAATACCTGAACAGTTATAATCTTTTTTCTTCAAACAATTGCTGGGTATGAGTATCCTAACAGTTATAATCAACAAACTCAATTTCAGAGAAAGTTTCGAATGTGTAATGACTTCACATCAACCATCTCCTCATCCTTAAATTCCTCCTTGAAATATATTGAAAGCATTCCATCAATTAACCATAAATAATAATAATAATAATAATAATAATAATAAAAATAAATAAAAACTGTATACAATAAATGTTAATGGTGTAGACAAATGCATAGTAATTGAAGGGTAACAGTAGCACACTGGGTATAATAACAGTTGGCAGAGACCCAACCTTTCAAAGCAAGGGTCATGGGCTTGAAGCTCTATTCATGAGGCTATGGCAGTGTAAAAATGAACTGGTGCACAGAGCAATATGCTATACTATTCAATTCACTTAATTCTTCTTGTTTTCCAAATCAAAGAAACACATAAATATCGCATAAAAACATAAGCAACTTGACTTTTAATATATTAAGAAGTTTCAAAGTTCAATATATTAAGAAGTTTCAACGTTGTCCCTCGGTTAAATGCATTCACACAAACCTAACTACCTTGGCTTTGTTAAGCATTTTAGGACATCAAAATAACAATGGGAAGAGTTTAAATAACATCAATATCAATACAATCAATAATTCCCCAATTTTAACATAATTCTTCTTGTTACCCAAATAAAAAAATCATAAATAAAAAAAAACAATATCTCATATATGTGAAAAAAAATTGTAGAACCTAACCGCTATTAGAAATCAATAATGAACAATATTGTTTTTTCAACCACAAATTCACGCTTTACATAATACATGAATTTTCTTTATCCATCAAAATTCGATTTCTGTGACAGGAACATGGGACAATTTTTTAAATGCAATGCATCAGATTTGAATGTTCATCCATTCTATGTTATTCATCAACTATTTGTTTTTCATTGCACACAAATACATGAATTTTTTATGTTAGCTTAGAATACGCCAATTTTAATTCAATAATGTACTAATTTTACCATCAACGGTAAGAGATATAATCAGCTAAATTAATCTCCATCATAAAAAATTCTCTCTTATGTCTAGAATTGCCAAATCATTTCAAACATGTACAAATTGCAAGTACCTGTTAGACAATCTTCACTGTATTTTAAAGATTTAATTCTGTTGTGTACACAACAACAATTAGAATTTAAAGAAATAAAGAAAATGAGAGAATTTGTTTGATTACAAAAATCAAACTCGAAATAAAAATAAATAAACAAAACCACAGATTTTATTTTGTTACAAAAACAAAATAACATCTGATTTAAATAAATTAATAAAACAGAATAAAATATTAAACAACTTACTTGGTTAACAGTTTAATTGAATACTTCTTCTGATTCAAGTCCAGTTGTTTAACACTGTGTCTTTAGGACAAGATTCGTCCTCTCCACGGGTGGCTTTCAGAATTTGGCACGTGCTACTCCCAAGATGAAATGATCTTACCCTACAAATCAGACCTAAGAGCACGATCGATCAGATATTCTGTTTGTCCTTCACTTAAACACCAACTAATGTTTACACTGTGCCTACTTTCTTGCGAAAATATACAATCGCTTAGATAGATGCATAACTATGGCGTCCGAGAGTTAATTTGCAGGCATGGGCAGTACTAGGAAATTTGAAATGTAAAATCACAATATGGTGCCACGGCTATGTCCCTATTTCCATAGATGTATTAAGGTGGCTTCTTGGTTCTTGACAATACTTTGCAAACAGAGTCTAATGAAACTGTTAGATTTCAAATTTAAAACAGATTTGGAATCTGTTTATTCAAACAGCATACGTAAATGGAAGGGCTCCTCTGTTGGATGAGCAATAAATCCAAACAGTTTATATCTGTTTTGAAAAACGGAAAGGGCCTCGTGTTTGGTGAGCAAATAATATCCAAAAACAGTTTAATTCTGTTTGAAGAATCGAGAAGGGCTCAAGATTTTGGCAGATGAAGCCAATTAATCCAATAACAGTCTTAATTCTGTTTGAATCACGGAAGGGGCCCTGTTTGGATGAACAAAAAATTCCACCAACCATTCTAATTTTGAATCTGGTTTTATTTTAATAAAAATTAAATTAAATTTCAAATTGTTTTTTGCCGCAATAAAAGATTAGGAAGCCACCACCACGCCACCCAGCCCAGGCCCAGCCCGCCCGACCGGAGGCGCGGCGCGCGCAGCGTGTTGTGCGTGGATTTTTGGGTCCAATGGGTCTATGCCTACATAACTACTCCCTCTAAAACACTTGGTACCCTTGGGGCACACCTCCAAGCTATCTACCCTAAGCTTACTAAACCCTTTCAAAACTTCCACGCAAATCATGTGGGGACAGGCCAATTTAACCAACTCTTAAGGAATTCCCACCAAAACTCCATTTCTATGGCAGCGCACGACTTTGGCTTCAATTTCCCATTCCACACCGGTAATGGTTCTTGAGCAATCCAAAATATACCACGTGAATCACTACGCGGCATAGAACGCCGTTACCAACTTTGACTCCAAGTTAAAATCGACACTCGGGGCCCACCTAAATAGATAGACCGTACTTAGGAAAAAAACTTCTAGTTTTATCCCAGACATTTATAACCATTTCCTTCTCAAACCCCCAACTGATGAATGGAATTGATCGACCAACGGAAATTGCGAACAATCATGCAGATTTATCGAAAGGAGTTATTAGTCGCAAATAGGATAGGTAGTTTCGGCCCTTGAACCCCTTCCCTTTAGTGATTAACCTATCCGACCTTACTGGGCTAACCGAATGGACTGCGATGCCTTGAATTTGTTCAGATCGTTTGTGTAAGCCAAGACTAATAGATTTTCCACAAATATATCATTCTAACACATCGTGGTTCTCACTGTTGTGTTCATTGGCCTTGAACGCCGCTCCCTGGTGTTTTCATAAGTGTTTCTAAAATTAGCCTTACGATTCTCATACCCGAAAACCAAGGCCCCAGTTCACAACCTTCCAATAGGTGATTCTTATGTGAGTCAGTCTCTTTATACTCGTTCTTGATTTTATAGCTTATATCAAGATATATAAGTAATCATTAAAAAGCAAAGCTTATCAATATACACCCCTTGCCAGACAAACATATGTTGCAGATACTCACTCTCACCATAGGAATGGGTAAGGTGAATATTAATCCCTTGGTGATTTCTGGCGAGCCATAACATAACTTAGTTGTCCCTTTTGAACTTGTTCTTGGGATCTCCAGTCCATATAAGTAGGGTTAATTATTGACGACTCTATGTAATACAGCTTCTAATGCTCATCCCCTTCGAATGAACTATACACTAGCTCTTTTGTCAATACCTTTGTGTTAACGAAATCCAGCATATATTCATATTAGATTTTATATAATCTATTGAGAATTATTTCCGTTTGACTAATATAATTGCTTAAGCCGGTATTATGTCGACGACGAATATGGTCGTGACCTTACGCAGTTATATCATGTGATTCTGTTGCCCTGCCTATTGCAGATTGACTCCAACAACCCAGAAAAAGGGAATAAAAAATTTTTTTTTTTTTTTTTTTGGGAATATGATTTTTTCAAAACTTAAAAATTAGAAATAATATTAAATTTTAAATAAAAGCAATCAAGGTTAAGAACAAATGTTAACGTGGTAATTAAATATAAAAACATTCTTTCCCCATCTTAAATTGGTTTAAACTGATATACACAAAGGGGTTTTACAATTGTGGTTTTTAAAGTTTTTAAAAATTCCCGGGTTTTTAAATTGAAATTGCAAAATTGAAAACATTTGGAGTTTAATTTGAAAAACACGCGAATCCCTTTGGGATTTTTTTTTTTTGTAGCTTTGCCCTTCTTATATTATTAATTATTATTATTATTATTTATTATTATTATTATTAATTATTAATTATTATTAATTATTAATTATTATTTTGAGTTTAAAAAAAAAATTTTAACTTTTTTAGATCCATCTAAACATGTCAATTCTGAAAATTTAAATTTTTGATTTTTTTTTTTTTTTTTTTTTTGGAACTAGGTAAATACAATTTGATATCTATCTTGAAAGCATTTTTTGGGCAAGAAATTTTTA